CAGTTTACAATTAATAAAGAAGAAATTATTACAGTTGCCCCCTTCCCCCATTCCAAGTAAACAGGTTAGACCACATCACAGTAATCTCGTGATGTAGATTAAAAAAAAAAAAAAAGTCTTTTTATAGGATTACACAATTACTGGTGAACCAGTAGTTTCCATTGTGGTCCTTGCAAACAAATGAAACAAATGGTCTAAATTGAACATAACATCATTAAGAACATCATTAAGAACCCCAACTGGCCGGAGGCAAACCAGTTGGCTATTTACAAGCGTGGGCAAGGATCTGAACTCGGGGCTACCGTGAAACAAATTCAGTGGTCAGGGTGGGACTCGAACCCAGGAGCAGCGGATTACGAGTCCAACACTCTAACCACTCGGCCACACTGCCTCCATTGAGAGTCTCTAAAGCTGATATTTCAAGTGTTGACCATTCTTCAGCACCACAGTTTCTTTAGAAACATTTGTCATTTTATTGCTGTGATCACTTGACTCTTGCCATTTGCTCTGACACAGGGCAAACCCTCAAAATATCAGCTTTAGAAACTCTTTAGGTGGCCAGTTTACATTACCAACTCAGTTGAAAAAACCAAACTATCTTGTAATATCCATCACCTATGCAGCATCACAGCTTCTTTAGGAACCTACCCCTTTATTCATGACATGAATGCAGTGTTTATGTCATTGTTATCCTGTGGTAGGGAAAGGGTCGATGACCACCAAACAATTTCTGGGTTTACGAACAATAGCCTCCTTTTGGTGTGAAAGTATGCACAGATATTTATCCATGGACATTATCTCTTTGGAGATCTGAACAGTATTCTGAGAGCAAAGCTTGAGGAAAACTGTGAGCTTTGTTCCTTCTTCAGTAACAAACATACAATTTTCTTATCTTGAATTAAATTTAAGTGCAGAGTTTTCTGTATTGGATGTAAGGTTTAAAAATTGGGGAATATCACCCAAGGTACATCCTCAGATATTCCCCACTTTTAGTTACTAGGGAATATTATGTCATGTGATGCATTTTGGCCAATTGCACATGAGCACAAATATTTGTTAGATTATAAGTATAGTTATAGTCAATTATAGTCTGTAGAATAAATACAACTCTAATTATACATTTATTATATTTTTTTTGAAGGAGTTGCGTCATGGTTTTATTGGAATGGTTGGCAAGTAAGACTTAATTAAACTTGTTTTCCAATCTGAATAGCTATCTGAATAGCTTTGAACCATGCATTATTTTATTGAAGTTTATTACCAACTGTTATTCTTTGCTGATAGTACTCCTTTGATAAGATTTAACAAGCTCAGCGAGAAAACAGGTGAGCAATGAACTAAATTATATAATGCTTCCTGTAGTATCGTGGGCCGCACTCAGGCCACGTTATACACGCAAGGAACTCTGGGACAGTTATAGGCACAGTTACTTAGAACATGTTGTACGTACACAGTGGCGGATCCAGGGGGAGGGTCCGGGGGGTCTGGACCCCCCCTATCAAACCTGATGCTTACAACTTTGAGACAGGATCGCATATCATTTTTAACTGGCTGATTTTTTTAATGAATCCAAATAAACGGTAAGCGGCCAAGGAATTATAACATGCAACCGTGACTGGTGGGAGGGGGTGTGGGGGAGAAGTAATTTGCCTCAAAGAGTCCAACAGTCCTTTCTGAACCAAAGTTGGGACCCCCCCAATCAAAAATTCCTGGATCCGCCTCTGGTACACGGTATGTTGTGATACCACACTTTTATAACTTTGTGTTCTATTCAAATTCCCAGAAAAATGGATGCTCATTTTAAGGAGAGTGTTATTTTTAGTTCTGAGATGGGAGTTTAGGGTGGGGATTGGGGGGTGGTGATGGAGATGTTATAGGAGTGTTGTTGTTAGTTCTGAGATGGGAGGGGAGATGGTGATGGAGATGTTGAAGGAGGGAGGGGGGTGGTGATGGAGATGTTGAAGGAGTGTTGTTGTTCTGAGATGGGAGGGGAGATAGTGATGGAGATGTTGAAGGAGTGTTGTTGTTAGTTCTGAGATGGGAGGGGGGTGGCGATGGAGATGTTGAAGGAGTGTTGTTGTTAGTTCTGACATGGAAGCAGGGGTGGTGATGTTGTAGTTAGTGCGTGGTGGAGATGTTAGTGTTCAATATTTGAAAGGAAAAATCATGAAAGAAAAGTGTAGTGGGGTAGGTTGGGATGGTTGTAGGATATTGTCTTAAAAATAAGTAGAGGACTGGGTAAAGGTAGGGTAGCTTATTTGTAGTTTACTGTTGTTCTCATTTTCAATTGCTTTTCAATCTGTTTTGTTGTTGAGGATGTGATATCACCGCTAAAGCTGAACACCTTAACCCTGGTGGCTCTGTTAAAGATCGTGCTGCACTGTACCTTATAAAAGAAGCAGAGGAAAAAGGTTTCTATTTTCTTTTGTTGACCCTTATCCTTACAAGAGCTAACTCCTATGGGCCTAGTGACTCACTACTACTACAACTGGAGGTCCTTCAGTTTCCTCTAGTGTGAAGAAACCTCCACTGTTCTGGAATGGAATGCTGGCCCATTACAGTTACCCTTTCTTGCAGTGTTTTTTTTTTTTTGTCACAGTGATAGTTGAAAGAAGCATTATGAGAGGAAAGTGTCTTCCCTCCCCCCCCCCAAAAAAAACCCCACCCCATGGACCCCAGTGGTTGTGACAGCTCAAATCTCAACTGAACGTATCACACCAGTTTATAGATCTGCTGTTTTGTTTGAGGCCTTGTTAAACCTTTACACTCCAACCATGGTATTCACCTTCTCTGTTCTGTTCTCTTTACATCTCTTATGGTAAAGACAAGGAGAATTTGTTTGGCAAGCAGAAACTTCTTAGATTGGTGATCATCTCCTTTGTTCTCATGACCTGTACTTTTTATGCAAGGGGCAGATACCGTTAGGAGAAGTTAGAGCCCAGTTTCTTTTAGGTATTAAGGGGTTGATGGAGTCAAAAGTTGCAGGGTATCTGTTCAGTGGAGATATGCAAAGGAAAATTTTTTTCTAGTTGAGCAATCCGTTGCTTCCACTCTCAAAAGTTTAGGAAACAGGTAGAAGGGTTGTCGCTGGTGAAATTCGCTGGTTGAAAAAGTGGCAATCACCAGCTGGATATTTTGGCCAGCGATCGCTCGGGCACTTTTGGGGTTACACGCTTACTATTCTTCACCACCTTTGAGGCCACCTCACTTGGATTTTCAGCCAGCAGCATAATTCATCAGCTACAACCCTGAGGTAATTAAGCTACCAGAACCTAAGAAAACTACATTATTTTCTATTTGTCTCCAGGTTTGATAAGACCAGGGGGAACTGTAGTTGAAGGAACAGCGGGAAATACAGGTTTGTATAGATTATTGCCACTTGTTTTGATTTGTTATGTTAGTAATGATTGTCCTGTTGAAAGGCACAATAAGTTTTTGTGTCTAAGTAATCATTGGGTTTATTTCAGGTATAGGACTTGCGCACATCTGTCTTGCCAAGGGTTATAGGTGTGTTATTTACATGCCAAATACACAGTCACAGGTGGGCGTCAACAGAAAAGCTTTGTTATATTAATTTTATTAACAGTAATTTTCCTTACTATCTGCTATACCAGTCCTATAATTTTAGTTTGGATAATTTGGTATTGGATGAACTAATTATCTACTAACTAATCATTTTCTTTATTCTCATTACTTGTCTGCTTGATTTTGTATTGATATTGTAAGGAGAAATTCTGGGTTGGTCACTTCATGGGAATTAAAGGGTAAAGAGACTTTTTCATGACTTACCTTCATTGTTGAAATATTAGCATACCTTTTACTGGGAAACAACTCGTGTTATTTTTAAGAGCTATGCCGTAAAGCTAAACATAGCTATTTTTTAACATTTAAGGCAAATGGCAACATCTAGTACCTTTTTCCATTCATTTGAAAATTCGTACTTTATGACAAAAATATTTATGTTTGTTTTTTTTTAGGAAAAGATAGATGTGTTGAAGACTTTAGGTGCTGATGTACATCCAGTGCCAGCTGTTCCCTTTGATGACCCTATGAACTACAATCATCAGGTGACAATGAAATAAGAATATTATTCCCCTCAGCTCCTTATTAGTCTTTACAAACTATATAGTTGTTACCTTACTTTTATTTCCTGATTCTCAGGCCAGACGATTTGCGGAAAGCATCGAAAATGCTGTATGGACAAACCAGGTAATTTAAAATGAAGTCACAGTGAATCAAAGTTAGAATGTTGATAAACAGAGGGGTATCTATTTATTCTGTCTGATTTTGGGTACTAGTGTCCTATTTTAGACAAAAATTAGACAGTCTAAAATCAGATGCTAGTAAAAAAGTAAGTAATGTCTGTTTACGAGCCTAGTGGCCCAATAGGCCGGTTCTTAACTCTGGTTTCTGTAGCATGAAGCCACTAGGAGTATTTCTACTCCCCCCTGGATGGGATGCCAGTCCATCACAGGGTTACCCCCAGCATTAAATTGCCGGTACCCATTTATACACCTGGGTGAAGATGCTAACTAGTGTCTAAAATTGGACACCAGTATCTGATATCAGACACAAGTGATGAAAGTCTCACCGCCCTGAACTGCCTTAAGATGGTAGTGTCAAATTCAAGACACTAGTGTCCAATTCTAGACACTTAGTGTCCAATTTTATGAACTAGATTTTAAACAATAGTTTGAAATTTTAGACACTAGTGTCCAATTTTAGTAGCTATTGTTCAATCTAGACACCAGTGTCCAATTTTGGGCACTAGTGTCTAATTTTAGACTGTATCATCATCTGCTTTTAGACACTGGTGTCCTATTTTGGACACAATTGTCAGATTTTAGACACTAGTGTCCAATTTTGGACACTAGTATCTGATTATATATATTATTGTCTAAATTTATCTATATCGTTTTTTCCGAAGAGGAAAGCTAAGTTTATGAGCCTTAATGGATGTTATTAGGTTTCTTCCATTTACATACCTTCATTATAACAAATTACATTCATGTAATCTCTATATCTGATGCAAAATTGAATAAAATATGTTTTGTGTTATTTATCTAGTTTGACAACATATCAAATAGAAGAGCTCATTTTGAGACAACAGGGCCAGAAATTTGGAATCAAACTGATGGAAGGATAGATGCTGTTACCTTTTCCACAGGAACTGGTGGCACATTAGCAGGTAATGACAAATCACCTCTTTTTAATATAAAACAGTGGTCAAGATGGTTTGAACTGAGATTTCTCAAACTCATTAATAATTCATCAAGTTACAAACCAATCATGATATGCCAGTTTGGCCACATGTGTGCATTTAGAAACCCCAATGAAACACTGGACAGAGGCTTTTCCACTATACTTTGATGAAATATCAAACCCTAGAGCTTGATAAAATCTCAAACCCCACTGATGCCAAAATCAGTCAGAATTTTTTCATTGTTCGTGGCTAATGATGCACGATTGAGAAGCAATTTCAAAAACTCGTGCTTCGTGTTTCATCAGGGTTTTCAAACACTCGAAAAAAATGGCCTGGTGCTTTCATCAGTTTTCTCATGTTTGGAAACCCCGATGAAACACTTGCACTCGTTTTTGAAATATTACGTAACAGTTGATTGCAGGTGCACCTTAGCTGAGGTGGGAATAGCACTGTAAAGAACTGTAAATGATTGCAGTGACTGCCATTTTGATGATCAGAACCTATGATAACTTACACCCAGGTTGTTGAAACATCAGTCATTGCTGCCAACAACAAATCCTTTCCACTGAGGACTTCTCTTTACCCAGGCAACAATGGGAGATGTGAGGGTGTTATGGTTGGTGTGCTGGCACTAAGGTCTGGGGGTCAAGAGGTGTGATTTTGAGACCTGGCTGGCTCATTGTGTTTTGCTTTTGGGCAAAACCATTGACTTCCACATTGCCTCTCTCCACCCAGTATATAATCAGTACCAGTGAATTTTCAGGGATGCTTGATAAATTGCAGGAGGGTAACCCAGTGAAAGACTGGCGTTTCATCTAATGGAGATTAGTTATACTCCTAGTCACTTCATAGTAACTCCTTAACTCCCATGAAGTGACCAAGACAGAATTTCTCCTTACCATATCAATACAATATCAAGCAGAAAAGTGATGAGAATAAAGAAAAATATCAATGAGGGGATTATTGGTAGATCCAATACCAAATTCTCCAAACTAACATAATAAAAATTGTATGTGAGACAGTAAAGAGAATTCTTAATGAGATCTTGGGGGTGAAAGGGCTGGAGAAAACAGACTGTATGGGCCTCTCCTCTTTAAGGTACCTTCCCACCTGCACAGGTATTCTTTGGTGTTTGAAGTTACTGAAGTTATTGTTTGTTGTCAGAACCACATCCCAAGGTATAACATGGACTTAGGTTTTTTTTTTTATGCCAGGTGTAGGAACTTATCTTAAATCAAAGAACCCAAATGTCAAAGTTGTTTTAGCTGATCCTGAGGTAATTTGTCACAAAGTAATATTCCATCTTGTTCCATTAATAGTTCAAAACCATTAGAGAAGAAACTCAAAAGTATGGTGCTATGCTCCACTCCAATTTCCAAACCTTTTCCCTTTGATGTATTGCATATGACAAAAGCATACCCTCATGTTCTAAAACAGGCATGTTCAACTGAGAGAAGAAAGGCAAAAGAGGTATTCTGGTTAATACCTTTGTTACATAAGGCTACCTTTCCTCTTGTATAACCTAAAGTGTATGGATAAGCTATTTGACACCTTGATCCTTACAAAAAATGACTGCACCCAAACTCCCCATCCCAACCCCCTGCCTTAAAAAAACCCACCCTAACCCCCCACCCTTCCCCCCATCCTAACCCCTCCATCCTTTCGAGAGAAAAATGTTTATACAGGTCTCTGCAGTAAGTGTACTTAGACTTTTTTTTTTTTTAATGTGACATTTTCCCTTAAACACTGCATAAACACATTTTCCCTTCCTCGTGTTAACAGGGTAGTGTACTGTACAATTACGTCAAAACTGGGGAGTTAAAAAGAAGTGATGGAAGTTCTATTACTGAAGGTAACAGAATTCATTCCTTTTCTTGTAGGTTAAACATTAATCTAGTTTTTAGAGAGCTGATACGATTTGCGTAACATGGAAAATTTATACGAAAAACTTCATGGCTGTGAGATTTCTCATCCCTCGACATGTCATATGTATTGAAACTACAATACACCAAAGTATGTGGGGCTAACTTGCCATGGGATGAAAGCTCTTTAACTTGTTACTCCCTTTGGATAGGACGCTTACTTGACCGGAACTTTAAGCCCCGACCATACTTCTTAAGAGAATTGTTTTTTTATCAATGATACAAAATATTTTAGTCCACACTGGCGTTTTTGTCTACATTACTACGTTTTGAGGGGAAACGCATATCCATTGATGCGTTTTTTTTAGCTATCGTTGGCATTAAAATGCCCAAAAAGCGAAGGAACCGACGGTTGGTGAAAGCTTTGTTCGTCGCCGTTTTCGGGTTCTCCTGTCCACAGATGAAACTGAGCGTTTCAGAAACGAAGCGTTTTCAAACCGCTCCACTTTTAAAGCCGTTTTCAAAAATTCTCCGTTTTTGTCATCGATTTTCGCGATTTACTGTGGGTGAAAAGGAAAGCGTATCAAAAAGTATGTGTATTGGTGTGTATACGGCCTTAGTCTCCTCAGGTTGTTTAGGTTTTGTCACAAAACACGGGCTCACCAGGGTGAGGGAGAGCGCGCTGCGTTGAGACACCATGGGTGTAAGACCAATCGCAAGTTACCCCATCCCCCTTTTTTTTAGCATTTTGTCAGGTACTCATGCCAATTATTCCCTGGGGCGGTGAGAGGGGGACAAATTCATAAGGATAGCTAACGGGAATCACAGCGGAGCTCTTGCGCTGGAGCGCGCTAGCGAAGTCCCTTACCTATAAGAATATTGTAACTCACCATTAAGAAGAAGAGTAATTCTCATAGACGATGATTTTCCTCATGGGATACTCACTAAGATTACTGGATAAGATATGATTTCTGTTTGTTTGTTGTCATAAGTTGAAATGTTTCCTTAGGAATTGGACAGGGGCGCGTAACAAGCAATTTAAACGGAGCTCCAATCGATGATGCGGTGTTTGTGTCTGATAAAGAAGCAGTAGAGATGGTTAGCCAACTTGATTACTTTTTATTTCAATTTTTCTCAGTTTATGATGCCCTTGTTCATTAATTTTTACAAACCAGCTGAGATACTAAGCGCGTTCTGATGTGTCAAAAGCCTCTCGTGTACGCGTGTATTGTACCTATAGACCCAATTTTAGTTTTGTTCAACAAATAAATAATGAGCTCTAGATTATATTCCGTGATAGTTGACGAGGGAGAAGCCCTCATTAACCAAAAGAATTACGGTAATTTCGCCCCCAGTCACTTCGCTCCAACCAAAAGTCAGTTTGCTCCATAATCGAAGTCACATCGCTCCATATAAAAGTTACTGGGGGCGAAATGACCATGGGGCGAAGTGACCGGATACCAAACAACGCACACAGCAATCGAAAAGTCAACGTAAGAATTTCTTTACATGGGTCAACTTACAGTAGTAACGCAGTTGATAAAACCAGATAGTCTTTCACTTGGTATCGAAGCACTTTTTAACCTTTTTCTACAGACTTTTTTCTTACTTCACGAAGAAGGGTTCTTTGTAGGCGCCTCGTCTGGCTTAAACGTTGCTGCGGCCGTGAAGGTATAGTGACTTTTCATCCTTTACGCCCCTTCATAGTAAATCAAACATCTTCGGTGAAATGCAAATTTCTGTCAACTGCTTCCGCACGCTTAAATCAGTGAATTCGCCTGGGGTGCACATCGGATACGGTCGGCTAGATTCCGAATGGTATTCGGAGTAGTCCGACGGAACGATCGGCGAAACCACGAGGGAGAATGTTCTGGGGTACTACACAAATAGCACTAATCCAGACTTAATTGTTCTGGCAATGTAAAGGGTTTATCTCCCCCTAACTTAAGAGTTCGTTTCAGTCGGATTTCAAACAACCCAGCCTGGGCAATAGCTTGGAAATTCAATTAAGTTTAGCTTTGGCCTTTCCTTTCACAGGTCGCCGAGATGCTTGGTCCGGGCCACGTGATTACTACATGTCTATGTGACACAGGGCAGGTATGTTCCAAGTCACGTGATTTTGTTCGACACTAATCACTACCTGCTCTTACTGATAACGTTTTCTCCCCCTTTTTTGTCCCCTACACCGTGTAGAAATACTTCGCGCGTCTCTTTAGTAAAGACTGGATGGAGTCTAAAGGTAAACATATTTTTTAACTTATCGTTGAAACTGCATCGTCAGGGGTTGAGAATGGAATGAAGGAAATCGAGTCCACCAGCGGAAACAAGAGCTTCTTGCGCTTTTCCGCAGTAATTTGATGGGTACCAACGTTGATAAAGGATTGATATAGCCATCTTCTTATTTTTCTGTCCTCAAATGCTGGTGTACAATTAATCGTCAGATCGGTTTGTTCACTTGCAGGTCTCTTAGATGCAATTCCCGAGAAGTATCGTCACTCCTTGCATTGATGATAACAGTAGTAGTAGAATAAAGCTCATTCATGCTTTAGGAATTTCTTTCGATATATACGCACATGCTGGAGATAAACTAGATGAAGGTTCTTCTTCATGTAACCCCATTGGTTTGTACCAGATTCCAATACACGGTTGTTAGGAATATTTTGTCTTATGCCCCATTCACACCAGCTTAACATGTTTGGTTAACCCAAGTGTAACATAATGAAAATTAGCAACAGATAACTAAAGAACTGAATTTTCCATAGGGTTCAAGTAGTTACTAACTTGAATTTGAAATGTGCTGTATAAAATTGGAAGTCGACAAACATCTGTTGAAAGAGTTTCCACGAAGAAAACAAATTTAAACCGTGTTTAACAAGACAGCTTTAAAACATGTTTGAGCTTTGGTGTAAATGGGGTGCAAAATAAGAATGTGTTGAAGTCGATAAACAAATGATTGGACCAATAAACAAAAAACAACAAAAGTAAACCACAAACAAATGAGAACATACGATTTCATGGTTTGAAGATGACTTTTGAAAAAGTATCAGGACCGCCTTTAAGATTATTGTTCATAGGAACATGGGAATAATTTATTTTCAATGGCGCACTAACCCAGATCCTCCTTCTCTCTCCCTTTTATTTTTTTTACCAATGCACAATTCCAGAATTATTCAGGGCGCTATCAACATTAGAACGCAGACCAGACTTGTGAATTTTATGTTCATTTTTCGTCTCAGCAAGAATTCAAAAGCAGAAGGGAAAGTGTTTTATTGTACACTGACATGACTGACAGCTTTCACTCAGGAGTCCTAAACATTATGAAAATCCCATTAATAAGATGGCAGTGCTATAAAAAAAGAATTACGAATGCCACCTACCGCCTGGTATTGATTTTTAAAGCATAAATATTTGAGGATGACCTCAACTTACTAGGTAGAAAAAAATGTGCAAGAATTAAGTATATGCAAGTCCTAATTTATGTGACATTAAAAAATCCTTTATGTCGAAAAGATTAGCGCGAGAGTCTTCAAACTCTGCTTCAATTGTCATCTCAACGTTTGCGGCTCAAATATGCAGCACATTAAGACAGTCAATCCAAGAAAATCCCAAAATAAATTGTAAATTATTAGTCCACTAAGTTCTTGATTCGATGCTTTCCTGGTCAATAAGAAGTGAGACTGACTAATAAGTTCATGGGCATAAATGTCTCATTGCTATCATAATGGAAACCAGCCATTTCATTGTTTAAAGCCTACGGAAAGGCGGAACTACGCTCTCACAGAGTTTACTGAACAGATTCCCGTCCACCGATTTTGTAGTCTCTAATAGGTTCCTGCGGGCTCAATGATTTGTTGCTAAGGATTACCACCCGGTTTAATTACTAAGGTCTGTAGCGGTAATTGGAGAGCGGGTAGGACTGGCGACGATCATCCTGAAACAAACAAAAACAAACAAATGTTCAGAAGCTTAATCAAAGAAAAAATTACAAACGCATCACCCAATGATTGAATTCGTTCTTGCATAACTCATACAGTGGCAGCTGAGCAAGCAAGAATACTGACCCTGGCTGGTGCACTATAGCCTCGACTGTCTTGATGTTGCCGCGGATCACGTGACGGGTTGTTAGAATGATTGCGCGAGAACTGGGGTTGATTCGGCCCCGGTCCCCGATAAGAGGGTAGCCTTTGCGACCAAGGCGTAGGCCTGTTTCCTTGGTAACTGCCTGAGTTGTGACGCGGCACCTGCTGACTGTAATGGTTGTTTCGTCTTGGATCATTGTAATCACGTGACGAAGGAGGAGTGCCCAGAATGGATCTTGAATGGGGAGGGTGACCGTGTCTCGGGTAGTTCTGCGGAGGGCCTGAGTGTGACCGGAAGGGAGGAGCGTGGCTGCGGGGTGTGGAGAAACGAAAGACTTCACCGCCATGGAAGCTAAAACAACAAATATATACATTTATTCGATGGTTCAACAGATAATACGCACGGATATTTTAAGACTCGAAAGTATTTATAGGAGCAATAGTAGACTCTGCTTGGTCGCTAGTGGGAGGCGCGGTGGCTCAGTGAAAAAAAAGGACAGAGATAGGTACTTCATGAAATCTACTGAATTTCATTGTTTTTAAATTAAATAATGAATAATATTCACGATGTAAAGTCTTCAGTTCCCCATGCGCGTCCCGCGTTTTCTCCGCGCGCGCCACTCTATATCTGTTACCTGAGTATCTGAGATACTACTGTTCATGCTAGGTCTTCGTTTTTTCATTAACGCCATCAGTTCACTTACTTGAGCATTCTTCTTCCAGCGCCGTCAATTTGAGCGAACGAGGTCCTGTTAGGATTCATTCCTGTGACGGGCCGATATGGAGCATTTCTGTCATAACCCTCTGGTTTCAGAACACGGGCTGGAGGTCTGAGCATTGAAATGAACAATCAAGGGCACTTCCACATTTGCACTGAGTCTTGGTTGAGTTACCGGGTGAGGGGAGGGGGAGGGGGGGACGTTACTCAAAGTGATAGGTCTGTTGACAGCTCAGTGGAGGAGCAGTGCGGTATATAGGATGCGGGTCAGACTGGGTGGCGACAGCCCAAGGGGACGGGGAAAGGTTCGATTCGTGTCATATTTGAACGAATACGATTTAGGGAGAGTTACATTTTGTTATTTTGGGGAGGGGAGGGTTAACGTTCTCGGCCGTTATGCGTTACATTAACTTACACTGCCTCGGGTAAAACATCTGCTTTAAAAATATGATCGTCGTCGTAAACAGGATCAGTGAACAGGACACTAAAATCAACAAGAATACAATTAAAACATACGTTATCACGCAAAGTTTTATTCAGTTGTATAAAATTGATTACGGTTTGTGGTCTGCTGTTCGTAAAGCGAGAAAACGACGATGAAGAGGGTGGTAATGTTGACGAGGACAGAGCTACAACGAAGACCTTACGACGAATAGTAAAATTGACAAGGACAGAGCGACAACGAAGACCTCACGACGAATAGTAACATTGACGAGGACAGAGCGACAACGAAGACCTTACGACGAATAGTAACATTGACGAGGACAGAGCGACAACGAAGACCTTACGACGAATAGTAACAAAGTG